AAAAAAAAAAAAAAACACACACACACACACATAATTCCCTTCTTAATCTGATTTTTCATTTCATTCACACACACATACGCACAATCAAAAGCGAGTATCTGCACATGTGCGAGCACACTCACTGCGTGTACTTTTTAGGCCATGCATGTCAGCATGTGCACAATCAAGGATATGTAATTCTGCAAGTTTGTTAAATTTGGGGAGAAGATGGAAAATATGAACGTTCTACGCAAGTGAGAAAAAAAATTAATAAGAAAAGCAGCGACCTTGAAGGCATGACGAGCCTTGCATCCCATGAGTTGCAGAGTGCTCTGCAGGACGGAACGCGTGTATCGAAACGCAGTTTCCTTCTCAGTTTCTGCGTCATCTTCTACCACGATTATATACAACAGCTTCGCCACTCCCATCCCCTCCGCCACCGCCATTCTTCCGCCTATTTCAACGGACCGCACATGCAAAAACACAACAAACTCATAATCCAATTAAAAATCGTTCATGATTCAAAATTGAAATCCAAAATAAAATATTATAACAATGCAGGTAGAAAATCACACCTGTAGAAGGATAGTCGAGATAGAATAGAGCTATCCAGTTAGGTTTCTGCTAGGTTACAATCGTAGAGAAATAGATGAAAATGAGGACTCAGTGAAATAAAAAGGAGCATTTTCTGAGGCGATCTGGCCATTTCACCGCCACCTGCTTCCGCGCATCGCAGCTTCTATGCCCCCACGAATTAGTCGTTGCTCTCCCTCTCTATATAAAGGAATTCAAATGACGGTTTGGGGGCTGATTAAACGAGAATTACTTATGAGAATACGGTAAATTTGGTAATTTTAAGAAAAAATAGGGTGGATTATTTTGCTGACTACTCGTTTTTGGTCAGGGTAATAGAGGAAAAAAAATAATTGAAAAGGACTCTCAAGTAATTATCAAGGGATGTTCCTCCTAATATTACCATTTATAGCACGTTAGTCCTCAATCAAATAATCTTTTAATTTTCAGAGTTTTGAACTTTCAATTTCAGTGCAATTCAGTCCTATTGAATGAAAATAGTCAAATATCTCGTAAAATAAAGAAAAAATTATGAGTACATAGAAAAAGTCGTGTTTACACGTTATAGAATCCAATGTAGGAAGAAAAAAATGACTTTCTGAAAGTAGTCTGAAATCATTGACCGAATCAATGGAAGAAAAAGACTTCCACTAAAAAAAGTCATTCATTATAATTCAATTTAATTACACATTTGCAATTAAATGCAGATGGATCCACATTTCACATGATCCTTATTCATTATTCCATGAATTACACTATTTGTGTAAAATAGATTGACAAACTTGATGGAATAATCATCCAACTTTTGTTATTAAGTCCATGTTTGATACAAATTAAAATTAAAATTTTAATTTAGGTCAAAATCAACAATTAATTTTAATAACACAGTTTATAGGATCCACAATTTTTCAATCACATATTTTAACGACTTTTATCAAAATCCACTAAAAATTTGATTTTAATTCTCATAAAATAAATGCTAAGATTCAATAAAGGATTAAACTACTCAAACCATCAGGCGCTCCTCCAATAGAGGGGCGTCACGTTGGCCGCAGGACGGAACGCGTGTATCGAAACGCAGTTTCCTTCTCAGTTTCTGCGTCATCTTCTACCACGATTATATACAACAGCTTCGCCACTCCCATCCCCTCCGCCACCGCCATTCTTCCGCCTATTTCAACGGACCGCACATGCAAAAACACAACAAACTCATAATCCAATTAAAAATCGTTCATGATTCAAAATTGAAATCCAAAATAAAATATTATAACAATGCAGGTAGAAAATCACACCTGTAGAAGGATAGTCGAGATAGAATAGAGCTATCCAGTTAGGTTTCTGCTAGGTTACAATCGTAGAGAAATAGATGAAAATGAGGACTCAGTGAAATAAAAAGGAGCATTTTCTGAGGCGATCTGGCCATTTCACCGCCACCTGCTTCCGCGCATCGCAGCTTCTATGCCCCCACGAATTAGTCGTTGCTCTCCCTCTCTATATAAAGGAATTCAAATGACGGTTTGGGGGCTGATTAAACGAGAATTACTTATGAGAATACGGTAAATTTGGTAATTTTAAGAAAAAATAGGGTGGATTATTTTGCTGACTACTCGTTTTTGGTCAGGGTAATAGAGGAAAAAAAATAATTGAAAAGGACTCTCAAGTAATTATCAAGGGATGTTCCTCCTAATATTACCATTTATAGCACGTTAGTCCTCAATCAAATAATCTTTTAATTTTCAGAGTTTTGAACTTTCAATTTCAGTGCAATTCAGTCCTATTGAATGAAAATAGTCAAATATCTCGTAAAATAAAGAAAAAATTATGAGTACATAGAAAAAGTCGTGTTTACACGTTATAGAATCTAATGTAGGAAGAAAAAAAAGACTTTCTGAAAGTAGTCTGAAATCATTGACCGAATCAATGGAAGAAAAAGACTTCCACTAAAAAAAGTCATTCATTATAATTCAATTTAATTACACATTTGCAATTAAATGCATGATGGATCCACATTTCACATGATTCTTATTCATTATTTCATGAATTACACTATTTGTATAAATTAGATTGACAAACTTGATGGAATAATCATCCAACTTTTGTTATTAAGTCCATGTTTGATACAAATTAAAATTAAAATTTTAATTTAGGTCAAAATCAACAATTAATTTTAATCACACGTTTTATAGGATCCACAATTTTTCAATCACATATTTTAACGACTTTTATCAAAATCCACTAAAAATTTGATTTTAATTCTCATCAAATAAATGCTAAGATTCAATAAAGGATTAAACTACTCAAACCATCAGGCGCTCCTCCAATAGAGGGGCGTCACGTTGGCCTATCCCCAAAATTTGTCAAAAAATTCTGTCACTCCAGCATGGCTATTCAATAAATTAATAATAAACTAAGTCTACTTATAATATTGACTAAATGTTACATCTATGAAAACTTAAAAGTGCAAAAGCTAAAAATAAATAAATAAAACTGATTTGCCTGAAATTTATGACACCTCGATTGATCGATACTCACATTACGCGTGGGTCCACGTGAATTAAAAAATACTGATCTCTCATGTGTGTGTATATTCGGTCATCCCGTACGTCATCCCCTATATTCGTGTAACAAAACTCTAAATAAATATACGAATGAACGAAGCTCTGGTGGTTAATATTATTTGAATGGACTTTGCCATGCTTGACACATTGGCCCTATTGTTAACACATAATATTTTATGGGCCCCATGGAGAAAAAATAAAAGATTAAGGGGATTCACAATAGGTCTGGTCCTTATTTTTTAAAATTAAATTTTCTTAAATTAATTTTTAATCACATATGTTATGAATTTAATAATTTTTATCAACTTTTTAATCATAAATATCATTAAAATTTGCCCAAATTTTGCTTTTTATCAAAATTTTAATAATAAATTTTATTAATTTTCATCAAAATCTGCTGAAATTTTGATTTTTATCTGAATTAATCAAGGGCTAGGACTGATTCTACACGGAATAGGGATTCTCGTGCGAACACATTGTTGAAAATGAGAGACTCTGCGTGTGGAAAAATGAAACCAACGTGCCTTAAAGTTTGGGAAATTAGAAAACATACTTCTAGAAAATAATTGAGATATTTTGCCCCACCAATAGACTTTTCTTGCGATTGACCACAAGTACGTGTAAGATGTATTGATTAATTTTCGTTTTAGCAATAAAATTCATCTCTTTAATTTATAATATCGTATTTATCACTCTTTTATTTATTTTCGATATTAATGGTTAAAGAACTATGTCGATACATTTGACACGTCAATCAAGCTTTATCTATCTGCAAGGGCTCGTTAAAGGAAACTAACAGTCACAATATTATTTTAAATACTGACGTCATGTTTGAGAAATGAACGTAACTTCAATTTGAGAAGACTTTTGATCTAGTCAATTGTTGAATTTTCGAACGATTATTGACCTTTTTTGAAGGTAAATAGAGTAGTGGACCCTTCGAAACAATGAAGATGTTAGTCATGTAACTCTATTAGTACGGCACACGAGTCTTCAATCGATATTATTATTAGGATTATATCACTCTCCAATACGATTTGACTTGAGAGGCGAAGAATTTAAATAGAAGCATCTATCACATTCATTTGTACTGTATTGTTTTGCTTGTGCACATGGAAGGAGGAAATTGATCGTCAAGAAATCACCTAAATATGACATTTTATTATAATAAAAAATAAAAAATTAAGCATCTCTTTGAGTCTTTTTTTTTTTTTTTTTAAATATAATAAGGATTTCTTGGAGAATATATGGTTAAAATATATAGAAAAGTTTTGAGTTTATATACAAAATTATTTTATTAAAAAAAATATGTAGTTGAAAACTAGTTTTAAAAAAGTTAGAGGCTATTTTTTTCGTGTTTCAGTTTTGTAGTTTTAAGTTTTGAATTCATTTTGAGTTTTGTGTTTTGAGTGCCTATTTTGAATTAAAAATGCATTCTTTTTGCCATTTTGGAACCATTTCCCGTGTTTTCAATTTTTTCTAGTTTTGTATTGAAAACGCCTAAAACAACAAAAATATCGTTTTGTGTTTTTTTCACAATTTTTTTTTTTGTTTTCAAAAATTCGTTTTTGAAAACGAGAAAGAGAACGCGTTTTCACCGTTTTGAAAAATCGAAAATAGAAAACGGCTCGAAAACGGTGAAGAGAACACACCCTTAATTTTTGAAGAATGAGGCGGGCTCAAACTAGGACTAAATATGCACATGATGAATATGTGATAGATAATTGGATAATTAATAAATTTTATTTACGATATTTTTATTGTAATTCATTCAGATTAATATACTTATATTTTATTAAACTAAATAATTATATATTAATTTGATTTCAATAAAATAATTCGATATGATACTAATAAAAAAATTAATTAAAAAGAAGCTGAAACGAAAAATATTGAACGTTCAACACTTCAACGTTCGTCCCCATTGTGCGGCCAAGGCACGCAGTTTAAGGTTGTCTTTTTTTATTTCGACTATTCTACATTTGAAGTTTTTTTATTTAAGGAAATTTGTTGAAGATGTCGTGTTCGACAGAGGAATCGGAAAAGGACTTTGTTTATTTTAATTTGGTCTCCAATTTTTAGACTTTTATAAGTTAATTTTAAACTTTTTATTAGTTATATAATTAATCCTCAACCACTTAAATCGTCCAACTTTTTTTTTATTAAACACTCTCAAATGTCTCACTCTTTGAAATTAATTTTATTTTTACCAACCTATTCTAAAATTTGTCTCTAGGTACTTTTTTCATGAGAATCTAGCAACTATAATTAACGGAGAATTAAACAATTTTATAATTTAAGAGCTGATTGACAAACCATATAAAATCTTTAATAATCATTTCTTTTTCCTTAGATGTTACTCAGACTATTTTTTAAGAATCAAATATGCAATTTTCCTAAAATTATGTTCCCTTTTTCATTTAAGGCTCGTCCAAATCAATTTTCAACCACATTTCAGCTTCATGCATGTGTACAAAAGCACGATCGTGATTGTTGCGGTCAATAATAACAAAATTGGCAAATTCCAAAGACCGTTTATGATGATTTTAGAGGCAATCATTTAGTTTAAAAAAAAAAATGTTATTTCAAATTTTGAATTGCGTATGCCTCTTATGAGATTTATTGAAAATTCAGAAATACTTT